CATAATATGTACATGCGACCTAGTCTTGAATACTGCTCGCCCCTATTCAGTCTTCTGCATACTAGTGAACGGAAGAAAATAGAATCGGTGCAGCACTTCTTTACTAAAATAGTTTTAACTAGAGAACACCATAATCTAGCCTACCAACAAAGTTTTGAACTTATAAAGCTGGATCACCTATGGTTTCGTAGATCACAGAAGGGCCTATTTTTACTGTTTAAACTTTCGAATGGCCGAAGCTTTAATCCTCTCAGTACAATAAGGCAGCTCGAGCGCCCTCGGCGCGCTAGTCATCGAGATGTGTTTTTATTTCTTCCTACGGCACGCACGGTTAAGTACCGTCAATTCTTTTCAGTAAACGCCATATCAATCTGGAATAAACTGCCCAGAAGTATTTAAACGCGGCAGAGCTACCCTTTATTTAAGAGGGCTATCACTAGTTTTCTACCTGCAGGACAACTTTGACGAATCTGACTCGGTATAATCTCTCTTCCACTCTGATGGCGTTCGTGGACTTTGAGCTCTGTCAGGCCTCATGCTGAAGATAATGCTGCTGAAGCTGCGGCCCGCAATTGGCTAATTCTTCAGCCGACAGCGAGAAACTTTTTCCGACAAACATTCAAGGATGACCGAGAACACTGTGTTCTTGTGCCAAACCGCCCCAGTTCCGAACTCTTGTCCCTAAACAATCTGCAGCTTTTCTCCTGCTAATCTACTAACTCAGTTTATAAATGTAAGATATATTCCGATGTATCGTACCTTTGCAAATCAGGTTTTTTTCACTTTAAACAAACTCCCTATCTCGCCCAGTATTGACAAAACACAAAATTGAAACAGAACCAGTGCTAGCTGCAAAAGAGGGAGTGTGTTTTGGGTTTTTTCCTGTCTTCGAGGTTTTGGAAGGCGCCTAAGAGGTGCTCTACCAACTCTCAAAAATTTGCCTTTAAACTGTCATAATAAACATACATAAAATCTCATTCCATGCGCACTTCTTTGACTCGCGTCCCGCAAGTCTTACTTTTGCAAACGTCTGACCTTACACTGCTAGATTTAGCTCCCACATACTCACATGTTATGCCGCCAACTTGCTGGTGTACACTACATTCTGAGTTTAGCATCATTTCCGAATGCAGCAAACTCTTCTCCGTTTTGCAACCTTGGTGGAGGCCTTGGAGATCGACTTTGATGGTCATCGCGTGTTTTTACGTTGTCGCCAACTTGCTGGTGGACTCTGGAGTCTGGTGGGTCGCACCTCGGTAACATAGCCTTCAATTCTACTGTCTCATCCTCGATGCGATCCCGCTGTCCCGGATGACACCTTCTTAACTCACTGGTATATTATTTTTCCTAGGATAATAAGCGTCCCGTACCCTCAACAGCAAGATCCCACCTAACTGCATCATATCATACCGTGTTACATATTAAAGTAGTTTTTTCTCCTTTAATTTCTTTTGGAAATCAGTGGCTTGCTGAACTCAGCCACCGATGTAAGAGTTTTTTAGTGCCCAGACCATTATTTTATAAGGGAGTTACTAGTTACCGTCGTACCACGCGTAACCTAGTATTAATTCCTGTTGTCATATAGTTGCCTAGGCACGGCTGTCATTACCAATTTTGTATTGTTTTCTTTTTAAGATAGCACTAAGTTTGTAGTGAAAGGGCCCCTTAGGCCTTAAATATAAAATTACTTTTTAATATTTTGTTAATCCTTGGACTGCTTTAGAGTTGCGAAAATCCCCATCAGAGAAATCAGAAGTCCAGTTGGCGAGTATACGTGTACTTCCGACAAATTCTCGTCGGGCCTCACATTTATACATTTATACGCAGTTCTCTTCGACAGCCAGCTATACAGAAAAATAGACGATGTTGCCATGGGCTTGCCTCTTGGACCTCTCCTAGCTGAAATATTCATGGGCAAGCTGTCGAAATTTCAACTAAGTGGGCAGATCCACAAGGTAAAACACTATGGCCACTACGTTGATGATATCTTCGCGATCGCCGCAAACGAAACCGACGTAGACGTACTCTTAAATGCAGTCAACGAAGCACGCACATCTATTAAGTTCACACTGGAGGTGGAAAAGGAAGGTTCGCTTCCGTTCTTGGACGCCCTCCTTAGTCGCAAACCTGAGCCCCTTTTACAACTATATTCTGCGTGTGACTCACTGATGCATCTGTTGCGAGCTCACGAGTAACGACCAAGCGGGCATCTGTATCCGGTGCTTTAGGTTCGATGGGTCCTGATGTACTGTTTTTGGGTTAGCTGACTGCACACCCCTGGCCCGTTTAGACTTTCTAGCCT